GCAAATATAACGTCATTTTGAAGAAATAAAGCGAAAGGCGTAGGGTGCCAGGGACACTTTTCGAAGGCCTCCGATTGTCTTTAGTCATGAAATTATTTTTATGAATGGAATATCTCATACAAAGAGCAGCCATTAACGCGCTCGTAGATAACAGTGAGTTCAGTGAACCAAAGGTCTACCGAAGAAAACTTGAAAACTAGAATACTCTTAACACCTTTAGGTAAAGTTAGGACAATCGGAAAGGATAGCTTTGCGCTCAGGGTTTAGAACGCTTTGTAGCCAGGATCGGGTTCTTGAACATGAATTTTCTAACATAATGTATCTGTTCAACTATTATGTCAAATTAAAAGTCCTAGGGTATTCCATTTATTCTCTCTTAAATCATTCTTTTTTATGTCTACTGTATAGATATATAATCAATTTTTATTTCTGTTAAATAGTAGGACCTTTTAGCTATCGTTTAGCTACTGACTTGTAAAAACGCTACTGTAATAATGATTATTATATTATGTATTAAGTCGCGAATTTGAAAGGGTATGGGCTTATAACTATGAAGAGATGGTGCGCTTAAAAACGTGTTGTAGAAAGACGAAGGCGGTTTCGAGGATATAGGTATTTTGCATTGTTATATCTTCTATTACCTATGTAGTGGTATTTCTATGAGTATTTCAAATAAAGAACCGTGTTGTTATAATGGTTTTTATAAATGGTAAAGCTTAAATGAGTTTTTCTGTAACTGCGTCACGTGCAATCACGCTGGGACAAGCAACCCAAACGATTTTTCCTAGCCGTTCTGTCTTACGAAGTGACACTAAAACGATGTTTCTGAGAAATAATTCATGATGTTGCTCCTGAACTGTGATGCCTATAAAAAGTTTGCCACGTTCGTTCAAACCAGCACAATTTCATCTTGAACCTCGTTTGTTGCAGATATGCGCTCCACTTTAGATTACTGTTCCCAGACTTGTTTGGATGTTTTAAGTGATAGAACCTTGCAGGGTGCTTGCGCATTGCATACATTAACTCAAGAATATTATTTACCGCTCGCTAACGGGGCAAGCTAAATACGGTGTCCTATTCGTGTCAGATACTTGGCTGCGTTTAACGTATCAGATACTTAGGCTGCGGTTTACATGTTGTTCAAAATGAAAGCGTTTCAAAATGGGTAGCCGTAGGGCGCATTTAAACGGGACCTGATGGTTGAAACTTGCTAGCCGTTCACTAAAATGAGTACGACTGGCTTAACAGATGCCCATTTGGAACGATCATTGAGATCCCATTGCAACGCCTGGAACGGTCCAAAATAGGATCGGATGGAAACGAGGCACACAAAGTATCCTAAAAAAGAGGCTATTCTAACATGCCTTCGATGTGTTGTTAAGGTGGTAACGAAAAACCTATCTGTAATGATTGCGTTACGGAAGCTCCTCAAATGAGGTAGCGTGTGTGGACTAGGGCAGCTGGCTAATGCTTATGCAAAAACTGTTTTTATTTACTTTTTCTCTCCATCTTATTTGGTTTGCATTCACTTTGTAAAAAGTTGAATTTCACTATTATTGCTAAGATAAGTTCAAAACTTTGGAAGACCTCTCTTTTTCATGTCAACCATTAAAATATGATAGAGCAAATGGAACCGTTAGCTTTCTCCCGTCAAATTCTATTTAGATGCAGTTTCTGGCCTTCCCTAGACTATTTTAATCCTAATTATAAAAATTTTATTGCCCGCTGAACATGGTGGCGGCCTTTTAAAACAACGTAATCATTAAATTTTGGCTCCACTGTTAAAATACGTCAAGGTGCATTAAGTCGATCTAACGAATAATAACGTTGTAACCTATAATAGCAGCCACTGTCTCTTGTCCAACCGTGGTAAAAAAGAACGTCATGCTGCAAACTTTTGGTGTAAATATCTTTGGCTTATAGCTACCTTTGTTACAGTTTGAAGCTTTTGTAGTCCCCCCCTCAGAAAATTATCCCTGGCCTTGGCGTGTAAATCCGTCGGGTTTGCTACATTGAGCCAATCCCTCTAACATCAAACCAGCATCATGTCTAAATGTTATCATCGCCTTTCCTTTTTTCTCTCCCTCTCATGACCATTATCCAAAAGATAAGCGCAATTATTTCATGAGATAAGCGCACTACAATAGATTTTTTATTAATATAGAATATAGAATTATGAAGTTGTTGCAACTTTTTTTTGTGCCTCTGTGTGCGATAGCCTTCCCGAAACCCACAAAGGAGTATGGTCATGGAGCTGTCGTTAGTAAACAATCCATTACTACACATTTGTGCCTCTGTGTGCGATAGCCTTCCCGAAACCCACAAAGGAGTATCGTCATGGAGCTGTCGTTACTAAACAATCCATTACTACACATTTGTGCCTCTGTGTGCGATAGCCTTCCCGAAACCCACAAAGGAGTATGGTCATGGACCTATCAATACTAAACAATCCATTACTACACATTTGTGCCTCTGTGTGCGATAGCCTTCCCGAAACCCACAAAGGAGTATGGTCATGGAGCTGTCGTTACTAAACAATCCATTACTACACATTTGTGCCTCTGTGTGCGATAGCCTTCCCGAAACCCACAAAGGAGTATGGTCATGGAGCTGTCGTTACTAAACAATCCATTACTACACATTTGTGCCTCTGTGTGCGATAGCCTTCCCGAAACCCACAAAGGAGTATGGTCATGGAGCTGTCGTTAGTAAACAATCCATTACTACACATTTGTGCCTCTGTGTGCGATAGCCTTCCCGAAACCCACAAAGGAGTATGGTCATGGACCTATCAATACTAAACAATCCATTACTACACATGTGTGCCTCTGTGTGCGATAGCCTTCCCGAAACCCACAAAGGAGTATGGTCATGGAGCTGTCGTTACTAAACAATCCATTACTACACATTTGTGCCTCTGTGTGTGATAGCCTTCCCGAAACCCACAAAGGAGTATGGTCATGGAGCTGTTGTTAAGACTTTCGCCTATCTTTCGCTAGTTCTACGGATAGTTGTCGGTGTCCAAGAGAAAAGCCAAGAAAAAGAATCCTTTTAGCGTTCAGCAATTTCTATTCATCACATAATTCTCGTTTCTCTAGGCTTGAATACGAATACTACTGATAATTTTACATGTTTTTATATGTTCCAACAAGGAATTACCGAAATATCAACCAATAACAAGCGCTCTTACAATTTACGTAAATTTGTCATGTGAATACTTATAACAATCACGGGTTGGATAATTATTAACTGCCCTCATTTTCACGAGGAGGAATTTGCGTATAAACGTTAACTAAACAATACATACTGCGTAAAACAGCAATGATTCATTCCTATTTAAGCATTTGATAGTGCAAGCATATAACCACGTACTGTGGAATCTACGTAAATATGACTAACACGGAAACATGCTGCAAAGCAAGGGTTACTAAATGGGTAAGAGGGCTGGGAAAATCCACACTCTCCCCTCCTTGACCAGCTATGAGTCAAGCATAATACGGGTTTTCCAACTAGCATCCTTAGCAGCTGCGCGTTGCGGCCTAACCCTGATGAGGCTCTCATTCCTTGCATCCCTTTCTCCTGTGGTATTCTTACTTTCCTCGCCATTCTCATTCCTTTCCTTCTTCAACTCGAGAGGAAAAAGTTTCTGTAAAGGTCTATTTAAATAATCTTTCTTACCCTTGGAGCAAGTCCTTACTTTTGCTCCTCTGATAACTCCATCCTTCCCATGAATTAGGTTTTCAATTTGTCCCATTTTCCATTGGTTGCGCTTCAAATTGTCTTCTTTTATCAAAACAATGTCTCCTCGTTGAATGTTTGCTTCCCCTGTGCCTCTATGTCTGTGATGTTCCCTAAGGTCAACTAGATATTCATTTTTCCATCGAGAAGCAAAATGGTTGAGCTTTTTAATGAGATACCAAAATCGTTTTTTGCATATGGCAGCATTTTCATCGACCTCATTAGCATCAAATTCTAGATTATTTGCTAGCAAAGGTAATCTTCTACCATGCAATAAATGATTTGGTGTCAGGGGCTCATAACCAATCTCATCATAAATATATGTCAATGGCCTAGAGTTAAGTATACCTTCAACTTCTAGTAGTGTGGTGTTTAATTCATCCAAGGAAAGTCTTGCATTCCCTAGAACCTTTCTTAGACAAGACTTTACAGATCCTACAAGACGCTCAAAATATCCACCCCACCAAGGGCTTCGCTCAAGATTAAATCGCCATGTTATCCTTTTGTCCTGTAGGAAGGAAAATACTGAAGGATCCTTAGCAAGGGTGCTCAGGAACTTAGCAGCAAATTTGAAAGTTTTAGCATTATCACTATTAATGAGTGATGGTGTACCTCTACGTGCAGTAAACCTTCGCAGACTCCTTAGAAAAGCTGGACCAGATAAATCTATAACTAAATCAAGATGCAATGCTCTTGAGGTACAACAGGTGTAAAGAACAATGTAACATTTCTTCATCTGACCATCTATATCCTTGTAAAAGAGTGGACCGGCAAAGTCAACACCAACATTTGTGAATGGTGGCACATCCTTCACTCTAAAGTCTGGCAAGGGTCCTTCTATAGGTCTATTATATGGCCTTCCTTGTTTATGAATACACACAATACACTTGCTCAAAATTCTTTTTACATATTGTCTACCCCTTGGAACCCAAAACCTGGAACGCAGTTCTGCTAGGGTTGCCTTCAAACCTAAGTGTCCAACTCTGTGGTGGCAATCTTGTATGACAAGATCAGTAAATGTGTTATCTCTTGGTAATAAAATTGGAAATTTTGCTTCTATGTCCAAATCAGAGTTACTTAGCCTACCTTTGCAAATCAACATGTTGCCCTTTTCTACAACGCCTAGTTGCACAGCAAGTAATTTAAAGTTACCTGATTTCTTCATTTGTTCTTGTGTATCTCTGGTCCAATGTGCTTCTGCTTCACATATTTCAGTTGCAGTTAAACCATCTGTTTGCCTTTCTTCCTTTGACAGCCTTATGTTTCGAAGAAAGCGCAGCACATATGCAGAAACCTTGTACAATTTGGCCAAAGTGCTGAATCTTTTAGCATCTATGATATTTCCAAAATGCCTCTCTGAGTCTTGTGCTACTGCTAAAGCATTTGTTTCCCTCTTCTTTTCTTCTTCTATTTCCTGTGAATCAGAAAGCAATAATTGTTTGGGCCAATGTTTTTTCCCCATAACTAACCAATGGGGGCCTTGCCACCACAACCTACTGGTGTTCAATGCACCGGGTGTTACACCTCTGGAGCCTAAATCTGCAGGGTTGCAGATACCTGCACAATGACCCCAGTTCCTTTTATCTGAGATCTGTAATATCTCATTAACACGGTGCTGGACAAATTGTTTCCAGAGCCCTTGATTGTTGATCCAGTAAAGAGCAGTTTTTGAGTCTAACCAATATCTGCATCCATCAATTTTCACCTGAGGGCTCAATGCTTTATAAACAGTGTCCATTAGTGTTGACAATATACGTCCAGACATAAGCTCAAGTCTAGGAATACTGAGTTGTTTCAATGGGGCTACCCTTGTTTTTGCACAAATAAGCCTAGAAAAAATACCATCATCAGTTTCATAAACAAGATAGATCACTGCACAGTATGCATTTTTACTAGCATCTGCAAATCCATGGAGATAGCAAGATTTGACAGTACCTGTTTCCTTACCATATAAGCACCTGGGCAAAGAGATATTTCCAGTTTCTTTTAGATCAGACACAATTCTATCAAAGACTACCTTCTGATCCTTAGGTACCTCATCGTCCCATCCAAGTTTCAAAGTGCAGAGTTCCTGGAAAAGAATCTTAAGGCCTACAATGACTGGGCTTACAAGTCCTAGTGGGTCAAATAGTTTTGCAATTATACTAAGAATGGTTCTTTTAGTTACTTTTACATCCTCATCAATATTTATGAATTTCCTGAAATCAAAAGTGAAGTCATCACTTCCTATATTCCAAGATATACCAAGAACCTTTGTACTATCGTGTCCTTCCTCAGAGCCAAGTGTTTCCTTAGCATATGTTTCTTCAGTGGGAGAAACATTTTGGCTCGCAGTTATGATTTTCTCCTCTTCAAATTCTTTTGCTAGGACAGGATCTGAGGTTTTCCATTTTCTGAGGTTCAATCCAGCAGCCTTCATATGTTCTTTAGCTGAAAGAAAAAGTTTTCTACCGCCTTCCGTATCTGAACTTCCAGACACTAGGTCATCAACATAAAAACTTGTGGCAAGTTTAGTAGCAATTTGAGGATCAACTACTTCATATTTTGCAATATGATATCTTAGCACTGCATTTAGCAAAAATGGGGAGCAATTAGCTCCAAATATCAATCTTCTGAACCTATACACAATCACAGATAAATCTTTTGCATTAAAGTCTTCAACCCACAAGAATCTGAGACAATCTCTGTCTTGTGTATCAACTTCAATATTCAAGAATGCCTTTTCAATGTCAGCTATAATTCCAATCCTATTCTCCCTAAATCTCAATAAAATGTCAAACAATAGCGGAGTGAGTGGGGGTCCAACATGAAGGCAATCATTCAAAGATGTACCTGACCTGCCCTCTTTTGCTGAGGCATCATACACCACTCGGAGTTTTGTCGTTTCTGCATCTTGGCGGATTACGGCTTGATGTGGCAAATAGGATGTCTTTGTGGAAGATTCTAATTCTGAAACCTCTTCAATAATTCCATTATCTAACTGCTCCTTGATAATATTGTCATAGCCTTCTAAGATTTCAGGTGTTGCTTTCAATCGGCGTAATTGTGA